TTCGAAGATCCTCTTCGATGCGAAGATGCGTTCCCAATTGTTCAAGAGTCATATCTTCCTTCCTTTTTGTATTTCAGGGAACGTTTTATATCCTTCCAACTGGACTGAAGTTTGACAACGATGAACGAGACCTTTATGGTTTCATCCATAGTCAGCTTGTGTTGTGCAAGTTGACTCAAATCCTTTGTAGTTCATGAAATTGTTCCACGATCGATCTCGAATCAACCATCTTGTAAGCGTTGAAGTTGCTTACAAGAAATCTTTTACTAGAGGTATCTTCGGAGAGATACTTTGCCTCTAGTAAATTCCATAACTCTTTTGCGGTTTCTATATGTTGATAAACATCAAACAGAGCATCGGACATACCGTTCAGAATGTGTTCATAGCAAACGTAGTTGTCGTTGTCCCATTTGTTCAGTATACACTTTTTGATTGATTTGCAAGAACAACCAAAAAAGTTCACTCAAAATCTCTCAAATTTGGATTAGATCTCATCTTGCAACTTGTTCTGACGTCTTTAGTATATAAAATACTAAAAGACATCATCAAAAGTTGTAAAATTCGCCAGTTTTCATGCGAAGAATCGCATCTGTTCATTTTCTGAAAACTGACTCGGGCCGAGTTACAAATGTTCGGGTCGAGTTACGACTAACGCGGTCCGAGTTACATCTGACTCGGACCGAGTCAAGTTCCTGTTAAAACACGATTTTCTCCCAGACTTCTAACGTGGTCCGAGTTACAACTGATTCGGACCGAAGTACCCCTGACGCAGTCCGAATTACATCTGACTCAGGACGCGTCAAATCTCTGTGCAAAACGAAATTTTCTCTGAGAAAGTAACACAGACCGAGTTACTTCTAACACGGACCGAGTTACGTCTCTATAACAAAATTTTCGTTTTAGTCTGAAAGATTGAGTGATACCTCACTCGGGTTGAGGTATACCGCACTCACGAAACAAATTGATTTTCTGTCAAAACAAATATATATTTTATTGATCTACTTTATATCATTTACGAATACTTAATTCCTCCACAATATTCGTAATATATATAACTATGAATCTCTTGAGAGATTATTCTTACCAATCATTTACTCTAAAATATACAACTACCTTCCGAACCTTACAAAGACCGCCCACGTTGGTTTTGTTTTGCTGAAGTAGTCTTACCAATATATTATTGATGTTTGGTCAAAACGAAATTATAATATTGTATAAAAAATCAGGATCAATGGAGATATATAAAACGACTTTTGTGAACCACGGAAAAGCCTCTCTGCTCCACAAAATAAATTTTAAAAAAATAAATGAAAATAAATATTACGATATGTATAGGGATATATTAGTCTTTGTCTAATCCATTACTAGCGTTTCCTATATATAAAAATATATATAGATGTTTAATGAATGAGAAAGTCAATGGATTGTTTTTCACATTGGTAAAGTGACAATAAAGCAAGTTGAACATTCCAGCCAGCCATAGACATACATGTATATGAGTGTGTGCGTATATGTATCTCAATCTCTCATTCATTGTACCTAACCTAGCACCTAAGTCCTGTTCTCCCAATATGTCTCATCCATCTCCGAGCTCTGATCCATACAATTACCTTGGCATCGTCCTGAATCCAGATGGCACCATCACACGCGACCTCACCCGATTTCAGTGTGCCGCCGCCACCCCAGATCCCCGCCCACACAATCCGGTGATCTCCAAGGATATTCCTGTCAACGAGTCAAAGTTAACGCGCATCCGCCTCTACCTACCTACCTCCGCCATATCCTCCGACGAGAAGCTCCCTCTCGTCGTGTACTTCCATGGCGGAGGCTTCGTTCTGGGCAGCGTCGACTTCGTCCAATTCCACGGTTTCTGCTCAAACATGGCATGTGACCTCCACGCGGTGGTTGCATCCGCCTCTTACCGGCTTTCTCCCGAGCACCGTCTCCCCGCGGCCTACGACGACGGCATGGAGGCACTGCATCGGATCCGGACCTCCTCAGATGACTGGCTGAATAACCACGCCGATCTCTCCAACGTCCTCATCATGGGTACGAGCGCCGGCGGAAATCTGGCCCACGCAGTCGGTCTACGCGCCAGCACCGAGGATCTGAAACCGTTGCAGATCCGCGGGCTCGTGCTGCACCACCCGTTCTTCGGCGGCGTGGAGAGAAGCCCATCGGAGATAAGGCTGGGGCAAGACCCCGTCTTGCCCCCGACGGTTAGCGACGTGTTCTGGGAGCTGTGTCTTCCGGTCGGAGCCGACCGGGACCACGAGTACTCGAATCCGAAGGAGGGTTTGGAGGGGATGGTTCGGGTGAGATGGAAGGTGATGGTGATAGGTACCGAAGGGGATCCATTGGTCGACCGGCAGAGAGAGGTGGTGGAGTTGATGAAGAACAACGGCGTGGATGTGGTGGGTCACTTCACCGACGGTTCCTTTCACGGTGCAGAGATTATGGACCCTTCAAAAGCTAAATCAATGTTTGCCATAGTCCGACATTTCATGCCATCCTCCATGTTGTAATAATTATCTTTGTTGACCATCTTGATATACGTTTGCGAACTCAATAATCGAATGGATTCAAAATAAAATAAGTAGTCCATAACGAACAAAATTTAATATAAAAATTGAATTATTACAATTTTATTTAAAATTAATACATTCTAAAACAAATGGAATAAAAAACATAACTGACAAAACAGACTTTTATTTAAATACGAGTATTTTTATTAATAAAAAACGTATTGAATTTGATCCCAAATCCAAATAAAATTAAACTTGATATAAAAACTGATTTATAATTTTTTTTAAATGGAATAATCGAACCTAAGTATAACTAAAATAAAACCCAAATTG